CGGGGTACTTTGTGATTAATTCTTGTACTGTGTCATGCATTAACAAGAATGAGCCAGGAAGCAGTTTAATGTGAGATGAAGTTTTATTGATTCACAGTAATGATGGATGAATGGGTTGTGATTTGACTCTGACTCAGACAATGCACATCCACAGTTATCTGAACTTCCTTCAGGACAGAAACGTAGCAAAGCTTATCACTGTCATACCTTGAATTCTTACCTCCAGAGTAAACATGTGGGTACCAATTAGTTTTTGTAAGAGCACCAACATTTCAAAACCGCTCTGGTTTATTTGTTGTCATCACAGCAGAAAAAAATAAAATAAATCAAACGAGTCACATCATATGAAATATATTGTTTTAAGTATTCAAATGAGGTCAAAGTCCCTGAGAGTACAGCTTTTTATGAATGTAACTGTCTATCAGCGCTTCTTTTAGTTTTCACTCTCAGCTTTAAAGAAATAAGCAAAACTGGCCATAGAAAACAATATCCCAGTGCTATGCATGGAGCATAGGTAGCAATACAGTAAAATGAGGAATATGAACCAACTCATGCTGCAGAATGACATACTTTTAAATAACACAAACAACAGACAATGGTAGTATGTCAAAATCCAAAAGCACATAACAGCAAATATTAAATTCAACATTTCTGGAGTTTCAAGCAACAATATTAAAAAAAACAACAACAACAAAAAACCCATAAACTATTGTAGTTATTACATTGACAAATAATTAATTATCTTGTCAGAAAATTTATTAGGTCTACATCTGACTTTATGAATTCCATGCATCAACAACTGTCCACTATTTGAATAGGTTCAAATACTAAGACAAGAAGTCAAACAAATAAAAGCTGGGGAAAAGCCCGTGGAGCTTTTTAAATGTCTGCTGAGACACTACCAACTCAGGAAAAAAGGACAGACTACAGTACATTTCAGAAGCCTTGTTTTAGTTTAAAACAAGGCCAGTGTTTACTGCTTTGAAGCATGAATAGTTTATTTTTCCTCCCAAACATGTTGTTTCTGTTGAGGAGCAGAAAATGCCAGCCTGTGGTCTCCATGAGGCGGCCAACAAGGAGGCAGTTTTTTTTTTAAAGTAAAAACTATACATCTAAATAGATCATTTGCGAAATATCACCCATTTCTCATTCTTTCCTTTGTTCCCTTTTTCCCTCACTAAATCTCTTAGATAATCAGTATCTCTATTGTAGTTTATGCAAAGATGGAAATCCAAAAAGCTTGACTTTTTCATGATTGCATAAGTAACAATTCTATGGCGTTTCTTTATAAAGCACATGCTCAAGCCCTCAATCGTAACCATAACCTTAAGTCTAACCAAACAGAGGTAATTAAAAGGCTTTTTATATGCTCTCAAAACCCAGCCTGCCTGTCTACCACAGTACTGTGGTTTTGTCAGACCAGTTTCCCTCCTCTCAGAAAGGCTGGAAGAGGAAAACTGTACAGCTACAATTGTTTTAATGACTAAAATAAAATAAATCTACACTCATTTATCTACAGGATGGAAACCTTGCAATGTAATGTAACTACTGCAGAAGCTTTAACCCTGGATGTGTTTGTCGGAAAAAAAAAAAAAAGAAGATATGTTAGGTTAAATGCTATAGCTAAGAATCTATACTGGTCATGCTGTGTAAATCCCAATAAATAAAGTAATAAAATACAGCGTAAGTAGCACAATGAACAAGAAGACTAACAAAAACCTTCCATTTGACTTTCCAGGATGTAAAATAAGAAAGTAAAAAAAAAAAAAAAAAAAAAAAAAAAAAAAAAAAAAAAAAAAAAAAAATTTAAAAATTTTTGGGGAAAAAAAAAAGGGGGACAAATTTTAAAATTTT